GATTTATTTTGTTATACGGCATATCAACCTCAAGATCATGACACCCTTTGGTTTGATTTATTTTGTTATACGGCATATCAACCTCAAGATCATGACACCCTTTGGTTTGATTTATTTTGTTTTACGGCATATCAAACTCAAGATCATGACACCCTTTTGGTTTGATTTATTTTGTTTTACTGCATATCAACCTCAAGATCATGACACCCTTTGGTTTGATTTATTTTGTTATACGGCATATCAACCTCAAGATCATGACACCCTTTGGTTTGGTTTAATTTGTTTTACGGCATATCAACCTCAAGATCATGACACCCTTTGGTTTGATTTATTTTGTTTTACGGCATATCAACCTTAAGATCATGACACCCTTTGGTTTGGTTTATTTTGTTTTACGGCATATCAACCTTAAGATCATGACACCCTTTGGTTTGGTTTATTTTGTTTTACGGCATATCAACCTTAAGATCATGACACCCTTTGGTTTGGTTGGTTTTTTGTTTTACGGCATATCAACCTCAAGATCATGACACCCTTTGTTTGATTTATTTTGTTATTCGGCATATCAACCTTAAGATCATGACACCCTTTGGTTTGGTTTATTTTGTTTTACGGCATATCAACCTTAAGATCATGACACCCTTTGGTTTGATTTATTTTGTTTTACGGCATATCAACCTTAAGATCATGACACCCTTTGTTTTGATTTATTTTGTTTTACGGCATATCAACCTTAAGATCATGACACCCTTTGGTTTGGTTTAATTTGTTTTACGGCATATCAACCTTAACATCATGACACCCTTTGGTTTGGTTTATTTTGCTTTACGGCATATCAACCTTAAGATCATGACACCCTTTGGTTTGGTTTATTTTGTTTTACGGCATATCAACCTCAAGATCATGACACCCTTTGGTTTGGTTTATTTTGTTTTACGGCATATCAACCTCAAGATCATGACACCCTTTGGTTTGGTTTATTTTGTTTTACGGCATATCAACATTAAGATCATGACACCCTTTGGTTTGATTTATTTTGTTTTACGGCATATCAACCTCAAGATCATGACACCCTTTGGTTTGATTTATTTTGTTATACGGCATATCAACCTCAAGATCATGACACCCTTTGGTTTGGTTTAATTTGTTTTACGGCATATCAACCTCAAGATCATGACACTCTTTGGTTTGATTTATTTTGTTTTACGGCATATCAACAACAAGATCATGACACCCTTTGGTTTGATTTATTTTGTTTTACGGCATATCAACAACAAGATCATGACACCCTTTGGTTTGATTTATTTTGTTTTACGGCATATCAACCTCAAGATCATGACACTCTTTGGTTTGATTTATTTTGTTATACGGCATATCAACCTCAAGATCATGACACCCTTTGGTTTGATTTATTTTGTTATACGGCATATCAACCTCAAGATCATGACACCCTTTGGTTTGATTTATTTTGTTTTACGGCATATCAAACTCAAGATCATGACACCCTTTTGGTTTGATTTATTTTGTTTTACGGCATATCAACCTCAAGATCATGACACCCTTTGGTTTGATTTATTTTGTTATACGGCATATCAACCTCAAAATCATGACAGATTTTGGTTTGGTTTAATTTGTTTTACGGCATATCAACCTCAAGATCATGACACACTTTGGTTTGATTTATTTTGTTATACGGCATATCAACCTCAAGATCATGACACCCTTTGGTTTGATTTATTTTGTTTTACGGCATATCAACCTCAAGATCATGACACCCTTTGGTTTGATTTATTTTGTTATACGGCATATCAACCTCAAGATCATGACACCCTTTGGTTTGATTTATTTTGTTTTACGGCATATCAACCTCAAGATCATGACACCCTTTGGTTTGATTTATTTTGTTATACGGCATATCAACCTCAAGATCATGACACCCTTTGGTTTGGTTTATTTTGTTTTACGGCATATCAACCTCAAGATCATGACACCCTTTGGAACATATGTAATGTACATATATAAACATTTACATTACGTGTTTTAGAAGCTCAAAAATTTGTTAATGATAATAGTGATAATGATAATTGCGTTAATATTAATTAGTGATGCCAGTAGTAGTCGTAATACTAGTGCTAATAATAAGTATAAGAATATTTGTTAAATATTGTTAAACTTTGTTTCATCTTTTCGTTTTCTTTTCTTAAATCGCGTTCGTCTTTGAGTTTTGCAAAATATTGGAAGACCTGGCATGACAGAGTTGGCCAATATTTGCATTGGAATATCTGTAACTTCTATGGGAAGGAACCTGAAAGAAAGTGGTATGAACGCCACCCAAACCCGGTTACGGAGATAGGACCTGTTACAATTTTATAGGATTACACAATACACACTGACAGAACAATCAAAGCTAACCCCCCAGATATTGTTATTAGAGATCGCACACAAAAAGCGCCTCCTTATTAATATGGCAGTACCTGAAAACTGCAATGTGTCTTTGAAGATCTTCAAAAAGCTATCAAAATATAACGACCTTGAAATCGAAATGTCAAAAATGTGGCACATAGGAACATCAACAATCCCTGTTGTAGTTGGAGCCCTCGGATTAGTTGGAAAAGATTCCAGTCGACTAATTGAATGGATTCCTGGAAGCCAATGCCTTAAAGAAATAAAAAACAATGTTCTCACGAGTACAGCCCACACCTTACGAAGGGCTTTGTCTATGTAATTTTTTTTCTAGTGGAAAATGTCATGCCATTTCTAACCTTAGGTTCTTGCGCGGGACCGGAAAGAAATGAGTACACATTAGAAATCAAAGGAAATTACATAAAGATAATAATAATAATAATAATAATGCTACACCAAGGATGGCTCTCATGGCTTCATATCTTAACTAACTGTTAACATGGACATGTTTTTAATGGGCTACAATAAATCTTCCTTCAGTACCACAGATTTGCTTCTCATTTGTGCTAACCTTAACCAAATGAGCAGATATCCTAAGGAGTGTTTATGGGCGGGAGTAGTGGGGGCAGAACATCATGGCCAGGTACCGAGAGGATTGCTTTTTCTTTTTTTTAAGTTTGAATGATAATGCAACCAAGGCGACTCGGGTGACACGTCAAGACTCTTAGGAACACTATCAATCGGAAATCGTCTGAACAGACTGGGTTATCCATCCTGAAGGTCTTTCTAACAGGGTGCAACCTGTAAGGTTTTGCACTGTTTTTATTTTAATTTTTTACCATATTATGCACATTTAGCTGCATGGTATACCCTTGTCAGACTTGATGTCAGGATGAGTGTATTGAATGTCATATTTGTACACTATCCCCACTTTGTTGGTATACTGCTCTCACATTTAATAATAATAATAATAATAATAATAATAATAATAATAATCATTTAAATCTCAAAAATGTGGCACATAGGAACATCAACAATCCCCTTTGTAGTTGGAGCCCTCGGATTGGTCGGAAAAGATTCCAGTAGACTAATTGAAGAGATCCCTGGAAGCCCATGCCTTAAAGAAATACAAAAAATCGTTCTCACGAGTACAGCCCACACCTTACGAAGGGCTTTGTCTATGATTTTTTTCCAGTGGAAAATGTCATGATGCAATTTCTAACCTTAGGTCCCTGGGCGGGACCCGGAAAGAAATGAGTACACAGCAGAAATCAAAGGAAATAAAATAAAGATAATAATAATAATAATATATTTTTGTTATTATTATTGCTTTTGTTGCTGCTGTTGTTATTACAGTGCGAACTCATTAATCCGGAATTCCATGCTCCGGTTATTCCTGGGTATGACGATAAACTACATCCGGCAGCAAGGCATCCGATCGGGGGTTTTGAGGAGCATGGAACCTTCTCTTAATTGCTGTTGTTCCCAGGTCCACCCTGATTCTGAGTAGTAAGTACTTGTTAGGGTCCCAGCTATGTGCGAATAGCGAACATCCAAATAAAAACAGAACACTATAAAAATATAAAAATACATTTTTATAGTAAAATGACCAGCAACAAATTTTATAGTAAAATTACCAACGATACATTTTATATGTAGTTGAAAGCATGCAATTGCGTTCAAAGTATTTAAATTTCAGTATTAAATAACCGCTGGAGGTTGATATGAGGCTAAACAAAATCAAACAAACAGCCAACATAAAGAACTCTTTTATGATATTGATCCATACCATATACTACAATTTAAAGAAATCAAACTGTATCCCAAAATACTATATAAAACACATATAACATCGCCTCAAAATCAACGATAAAGATTTTTATAATTTTGAAATAAACTTTGGAATAATCGAAATTAATTGAGAAATCCAGAGAAAGTCACCCATGAAATAAAAAAAAAATTGTTTGTACGGTAAGTAAGGACCTACGTGCATAAAACTGTCTTTAAATTAAGTGACAACAGAAGAATTATGGTTGAACTTTTAAAAGGTAAGTTTAAATATTAATGCAATACTTAAATGCAGTGATCAGTTTTGAGTTCTGTAGTTTATTGTTGCCAATCTCATCTACTCTACCCCAGCTATTTCAATTAAGAGCCCTCCACAGGAGCTAACTTAAATGACGCCCGATAGGGCGGCTTTTGCAATAGTATATATATATATATATATATATGAAGAAAGAACAGTAAGATATATAATCCGGTGTTCTTATAGATATTTTTATTTTTACAAAATAGTGCTCGATATAAATTTACAGAGCATTAATATTATAAATTAATTGATTTAAAATATTTTTTTCGCTACACAGTTCTAACCATGTTTCAAAAATGGAAGCTAAAAGCCTCGAATTTAATTTTGTAAAATTAAATTCGGGGCTTTATTCATTTTTGAAACATGGTTAGAACTGTGAATGAAAAAAAAAATTTTAAATCAATTAATTTATATATATATATATATATATATATATATATATATATATATATATATATATATATTGATTTTTGGTTTGAATTGATCACTTTTCTTGATGCATAAGGTGATGTGGGTGATCCACGCCACTATTATTACTGTTTATCTATCTATCTATCTATCTATCTATCTATCTATCTATCTATCTATCTATCGTGAAATATGGCCATGTAAAAGAAAGTACCATTACTCGTAGTTTTCATCTTCTCTTTCAAAGTAGGCTCCTAGTCTATGAATACTGTAATCTTAAAGAAGTATACTGCTCAGAGAAATTAGTGGCAAAACTCTGTACTTCCTGAACTTTAGGGAAGTCGGGTATATATGCTTTTCTCTATCCACATTCCTTTGTTTGTGCCTCTACACACCGTTTCCTTTTATTCATGTTGGATGAACTTTTTATTGTCAACATTGAATCCCTGCACCCAAATGCACAACAACTTCAGAAATTCACAGTCTACCTGATTTCCTTCGTCATTTTCTCTCCTGCGACCCATTTTCTTTCTTTCTTTCTTTCTTTCTTTCTTTCTTTCTTTTGATTCCCTGCAGTCTTTCTTTCTTTTATTTGCCCCCTATATTCTTTCTTTCTTTCTTTGTCTTCAAATTGTTTTCTTTCTTTCTTTCTTTCTTTCTTTCTTTCTTTCTTTCTTTCTTTCTTTCTTTTCTTTCTTTCTTACCCTCACTCTCTTCTTTCTTTGTCTTCAAATTGTTTTTTTCTTTCTTTCTTTCTTTCTTTCTTTTTCTTTCTTTCTTTCTTTTTGTTTGTTTGCTTTCTTTCGTTTTTTTCTTTCTTTCTTTTTGTTTGTGCTTTTCCTTTTATTTGTTTTTTTCTTTTCTTTCTTTTTTTCTTTCTTTCTTTCTTTCTTTCTTTCTTTTCTTTTTTTTTTGTTTGATTCCCTCTCTTTTTTCTTTCTTTCTTTTAATTTTCTTTCTTTCTTTCTTTTTTCCCCCTATATTCTTTCTTTCTTTCTTTTCTTTCTTTCTTTCTTTCTTTCTTTCTTTCTTTTGATTTCCTGCAGTCTTTCTTTCTTTTATTTGCCCCCTATATTCTTTCTTTTTTTCTTTTCTTTTCTTTCTTTCTTTCTTTCTTTCTTTCTTTCTTTCTTTCTTTCTTTCTTTTTCTTTCTTTCTTTTGTTTTTCTTTCTTTCTTGCAGTCTTGGCTTTTCTTTCTTTTATTTGTTCCCCTCTATTCTTTCTTTCTTTCTTTTTCTTTCTTTCTTTCTTTCTTCTTCGTTTGTTTGATTTTTCTATTCGTTTTTCTTTCTTTTCTTTCTTTTCTTTCTTTTTTATTTGTTCCCTTTTTCTTTCTTTCTTTCTTTCTTTCTTTCTTTCTTTCGTTTGTTTGATTCCTTCTATTCTTTTTTCTTTCTTTCTTTTGCTCCCCTGTGGCATTTCTTTCTTTTATTTGTTCCCCCTCTATTCTTTCTTTCTTTCTTTCTTTCTTTCTTTCTTTCTTTCTTTCTTTCTTTCTTTCTTTTAAATCCACGTCACCAAACGTTTTCAGCTGTACTTCGTTATCGGCCATAATTAACCGACAATACGCTGGTAAAAAGGTGTTGTACGCATGAACGGATATAAGATGGCAGCCATATTACCGCTAAATCCAGGTTCTTCGTCAACCGGCCAGCCGATGACCGTAAGCTGACCACAGTGTAGATGCACATGTCTGGATATTTCTCTATTCAATCTTGGAAAACGCCTCGCCAATGTACGGCTTGCCTTGAGCTGTTAGAGTGTGATTAAAAGAAAAATCCTAACTTCTTGAGGCAACCGAGGTTAATAAAAAGAAGTTCGTATAGAAAGGAATATTTGAATTGGATAGGAGATGAGGGCAGAGGTCCGTGTAAATCGTGGGCACCTGATGGAAAGCTGTACCCAACACTGGGTTCGACTATCCGGGTATGAATAAAGAGATATTTAAAAGAGCATGCGTACAGACGCGTGTGTCTACGCATGCGTATTAGCACACTTATGACGTATGTATGAGCGTGGTTTTCCGTTAATAAAATATGTGTATATCTGCTTGAAATAGCTGTGGATTCTTCTTTCTTCGTGTTCCAGGCGTCGAGTCTAGGTGAAAGCCAATATTTTGAGTGCTGATTTTCAAGATGGACAAAGGCTTTCATTCTTGGAAGCAGCAGGGGAAATCATAAAAAGAACCTGACATACATTATCATTATAATATACTAGACTATCCGTGACTCGGCAGGGTCACTGACGGTTCAGGTTATAAAATACTGAAGTTGATTTCAACTTAAATTGCTTAAATTACTAAAGTCTAGGTACCATAGAGGAGAACCCCTTAGAACAAATATCATGAAAGTATTTATAGAGAAGACACATTTAAGTTAAGGCGATGGGAAAGTAACTGAAGTGACTTATATATAATACTAGACTACCTGTGACCTATTAAACTTAAAATAAAAATACTGTATAAACAACACGTACTCTTTAAATCTTATTCAATTAAAAAAGGTTAAATTAAATGATTATGCGCTGGACAGACTCACTACATGAGCACACACGCAATCACAGACTTTTAGTATTATACAGATTAATATTAGTAAATTACTAATCTTAATTTAGTCAAAATGGAAGGACATAATGAGGAGCGAACTCATACATTATCGAACTGGACTAGCTACGCATCGAGTTATAGTACGTACCTTGCCGCAAATCTAATACAGCGCTTAAATTACTAAAGTCTAGGTACGATGGAGCCCCTTAGAACAAATATCATGAAAGTATTTATAGAGAAGACACATGGAAGTTAGGGCGATGGGAAAGTAACTGAAGTGACTTATACTAGACTACCTGTGACCTATTGGGTCATTGTGGGTTCGGCTTAAAAAACATTGAAGTTGATTTCAACGTTCCATTGAAATAAAAGTTATGATTCAGTTAAATATTTCAATTCGTTCATATCATTGGTCTGATTTACAAGTTCGTGTTTAACGTTTTACTGATTGTTTACAGTATTTAATAGGAACTTTCGGTAAAAATTTGAACTCCAGTAACAGCATTTATTTATGGCATATGTCAATACTTGTACAAAATGCAAAAAGAATTGTTATATTATATATATAAACAACTCGTATTTCTTAAATCTTATTCACTTAAAATATATTTTTAAATCAGAATAACTTAAAAATAATTTTAATATGCCAAAATTATTTTCAAATCATATTCACTTGAAAATATTTTTTTAAATATGCCAAAAGTATTTTTCAAATATTTAAAATATTGTTTGTTTAAAGAAAGCTGAAATGTAAATAATTACTCTACAAACAACTGTGTAAAACAGCAAAGTGGGACCTCTTTGTGTCTGTTTTTAACTTAAAAATATTTTAATTAAAAGATTCTATTTGAAGAAAGTTAAAATTAAAGTACTTACTGTATAAATAACTCGTATTTTAAAATCTTATTCACTCAAAATATTAAAAAAAAATCAGATTGACCTAAATATTTATACATCGGACGCACGCAAAAACTATCACGCAAGCAAGCATGTAATCATAGACTTTTAGTATTATATAGATAGATAGATTAGATTTTAAAAAATGGTGTACTTCTGCCATATCTGGGCTGGAGCTTCCCAATCCTCTTTTTCTGGCCTTGATCGAACCCAGAATCGTTTACGCGGCCTAAGCTGAAGCTAATATCCGGGAATCATTGGCCACGTGTCCGTGACCAAAGTGAGCCTTTAAGTTGAACGACATCGGCAGAGGTTTGACCTGGAGAGGAATGGACTCCGCCAGATCTAACTGCCAAAGATACGCTACGCATGAATGAATACCTCTCCGGCTTTCAACCCAGTTATGTGAAGGGGGATGGTCAGCTGCAGAGCTACGCAGCGACCCTACGACCACACCCGGTCACAGGACTAATTATGATAATAAGGAAGATATTACATAACTATTAATTATTATTTAGTTACCAGGGTCGGCTGAAAAGTTCATAGGCTGACCAAGATACTCTCATGGTATGTGACCAACTGAGGCTTATTTTTCAAAATAGACCTCCTTGCAGTCCACAAACTTCTTCCAACAGTGTTGCAGGGCTTGGATCCCATTGGTGAAGAAGACTGTCTGTTGGTCGAAAAGTCATCAACAGCAGAAATGAAGTCATCATCACTGCGATACTTGTTACCAGCTAAGAGTTCTTTCATGTTGGAGAACAGATGATAATCTTTAAACAGTCAGTTGTGAGGTTACCTGGAAAGAATTAATGCAGTTATTAAGAAGATTTGAAATTAATGCATGCAAGGTTTCACAGCTCTAGCATCAATCCTTCATAGTCAGCCTATGAACTTTTCAGACCACTCTCGTATTTTGCAATCGAAAGTCTAATATAACGCAAAGAATTTCGTTCACATCTATCTATCTATCTATCTATCTATCTATCTATCTATCTATCTATCTATCTATCTATCTATCTTAATTTGTTCATATGTATTTATTGTTATTAAGTGGATAAAAACCACTATTTCGAATGCTGTGTGATCCTGGGTATGACGATAAACCATATCCTGCAGCAAAACCTCTGATCGGGAAGGTTTGAGGCGCATGGGACCATTTCCAAAATGCCCTTGTTCCCAGGTCCACCCTGAACCAGGGTGGTAGCACCTGTTATTGTCCCAGCGAAACTGGTGAAAAAATCTGAAAGCATAGATTAAAAAAAATTGCCTGTAACAGATTTTTTGTAAAAAGAAAAAAAAAAAATGACAAGCAATAGATTTTTGTAAAAAGAAAAAATTACTCAAGTTTAAAAAAATTAAATTTCAGCATTAAATGAAGCATAAGGAGTTGATATGCCGTTAAACAAACAAACAGACGAATACTGTGTTTCGATGTAAACACACGCATTTTAAAATCTGGCACAAGAAAATCTTATCTTTGGGAAGTCAGTATATTTGTGTACTTGAACAAATCAGCTCCACCTACACAGTTTGCCCTGTCGTCATTCTAAGAATACGCTGGCAGGATGCTTTGCGAAGAAGTAAAACTACCACACCCTCCCCAAAAGAGAGAAGCCTCTTTTTGGTGGGATATTTGTAGGCTCTAGTGTCAATCGGTTTTGTGTCAACTTTCAAAAGTTAACCGGGCCTACCCGTTGCGTCATAAATATTTAGCCATTATTTAAATATACATTGAAACATACCTATTCATAAAAAATAGTTTCAAATTTTGCATAAGGCTTCCGAATGTTCTTTTGTTTTATTGCTTACAGTTTAATTAAATATGGCGGCTCAATTGGTGATTGTCGCACTGAAAATGGCTGACATGAAGAATATAAATAACAGCCGGTCGCTCGTATTCGAGTATTTCTATTTATTAGAGTGGTTAGCCAATCCCTGTTGCTGACGCCTGCCTAGGCACATTATAGTGCATCTATGCTGAGCAGATCTTAGTTACAGTTTCTGGGAGAGAGCGCATTATCTGGCGTGATCAAAAGTCTGAACAATTCCTTTCGCCACAAAAAATTCTTACAATTAAAAAAAAAGTTCTTACAATCTAAAAATAAGGCTTGACAAGCCGTAGAGAACGAATCAGTCTGCTGCAATTTTGGCTAATCCTCGTCGCCAAAATGCTGTAACCTAGGGAAGGTTACTGAATAGAATAATCGAACGAAGGTTGGTAATGAACGATAATAAAACAAGAACAACACATATAAGATTTGCCAGCGGCGCGTAGAAGTAGTAGTCAACTGCTAGAAGTGAGTCAAGTGAATTACACAATGAATCTCCAACTGCAGGATAGCTACCTACAGTCCTACGCGGTCAGATATGGCACAAGACCGAATTTAATGTTCGGCAGAGTCTAGTCTGGGGATCCTCTCTTCTCGGAGGCAGATATTTTGACCAGCACAGCTGGAGACGAATCTTTAACTGCAGACCAACATACAGTATTTACTACTGTATTTATGTGAATTCCCCATGCCCATTATCGTCCGTAGGTATGCTACAACACAATCAATCAAATTAACCAACCTCACCTTCATGGTGTTAATATCTATTTTATTTTATATTTCTCTAGTTTTAACAGATTGGAGTTATTGTGACCATAAAGAAAATAGGCAAGTGTTTAAACCAAATAAAATATTAGGTTGGTGCAAAAATAATGACGTAATAATGTCGTTTTTTGACGTATTTTTAAGGTCAAAAAACGACATTATTACGTCATTATTTTTGCACCAACCTAATATAAATGAAACACCTGAGGTGACCTAGAATTGACCTTTGCTCGTACACTTCAGCTTTGTTTCTCGATCCTTTCTCCTCTAGACTAGATTTTTTTTTCAAACACCATGCAAACTTTCAGAGCATTTAAGAGTTAAAATATCACGAAGCTACAAAAAAAGAAGTGTATTTTCAAGTTTTTATTTGCCCCAAGAATAAAGGCGTTTACACTATAGTCCTAAATAACAGACTGGCAAATCTATGTTCAGTTTCACTGGAACTTGCGTTAGATTAGACAGGTTTTTCATTATGATATGCCTGATCTAACATTCTATTACCAATTCATCCATGCGACAAAAAATGATATTTGTTAAGTTTTTATCTTTATTACAAGGATTTGACATGTGACGATTGAAGCATATTTTCTATATTTTTTTAATATATAATAATCTTGTTCTAGTTTATTACTTAATAACAATGCCCTATCTTACGTCCAGTGGAGTCTTTTATTAATACCACTTTAACTATACCATAAAAATAATGATACATTTTGTTAAGTTTTTAATCTTTTCACATGTGAGGAGAAATAACCACGATATTGCACGCGTACGCGGAGGCTGACGATAGAGCGTGCCTGCATACACACACATGTATAGCTGGCCACACGTATTCGAGTATACCCGTCCACTTCTTCTTTCCTTTTCTCTCCCTCCCTCTTATTCTGATCTTTAACAGTAGGTCGTCTATGGTGTGTGTATGTCACCACGAAATGTATCTTTAATGTATTAGACATCCGACAACATTCATATTTGCCCCCTCCACTCACCTCTTTAAAAAAAAAACCCTCTCTGTTAAGTTTTAATCTCCCACCTTCTCTCGTCTGTTACCCCTCTCTTTAGCTCTAACATTCGTCCCACACTCTCATACTTACACTCTCTCCAAATTCTATTTTTATTTCCGGAGTTGTTCTTGTCTGTTTTCTTTTTGAATTTGTAGGTCTGATGAATTGGATCGTACTTACGATTCCAATGGAATAAATTATGACCATGGAATATTCGTGTTTAAGCCTTTTTATTATATCCTTACTCTGTCCTGGACATTGAGTTCTACCTGGATTCTATCCTCTTGGAATTTTTTATTAAAAAAATATACATGTATGTGTATGCACCTATGTATATATATTTATATATTTTGCATATGTATGTGTATATTTACCACTAAAATTATCTATCTATCTATCTATCTATCTATCTATCTATCTATCTATATATATATATATATATATATATATATATATATATATATATATATATATATATATATTCCAGGATCATTTTCCAACTTATTCAAGATTATCTTAGAGAAATCAATGGAAAAACATTCTGATATATTCCCGAAGAATTAATATCAATTATCAGTTATTAAAAAAAGGAAAGACCTTGTAAATTGTTGGGTTCGCCTACGTCGTGATGGGCTATGGCGTTAAATACACTCAGTTTATAGTTATTTAAAAAAACAAAACAAAACAGGGCACTGAGATTTTTTTTCGCACAGTTTAATATATATAATTGAGTACTTATAAATATATGCAAATGTATGTCTATTTCTGAATAGCCCAATACGTTCATGAGGTCATATATTTAATGAGAATCAAGCATCCCTGTGCCCTCAGGTGGGTGAAGATTGAGAATGGTGACGTATAGATTATTGCTTTCTTACCTGGAAGAAATTTCGTCCCAGTGCCGCTTAACGCCACTTTCACTCGTCGTCAAATATAGCTTCATCCTTTCAGAAAATTCGCAACGCCCCCGCCCCTGTTTCAGTCCAGGCGCAGGTGTATCGATCAAAACAAAGAACCTAGATATGTAAAAGGACCTGCCAGCAGCCCGAATCGGGTATCGATTTGGCTTCCCATTGTCCTGGGAAGATTACCGTTGCTATTGATTTCGCATCTCCAACAGATAATGTCGCCCGAAAAATCCCCGCAGTTATCAAATTCAACCTGTCATTGTTGAACGCGAAGTCTAGCTGTACGGCTCAGATGCACTTTGTGCGCTGGAGTGATTGGTTGACAACAGGTGCAAGCTAGCGCATGTTGGTGTGCCGAGGCGTCTGAAGTGTCACACGAGAATGCACGTGCGTCGGTACAGGTGTAGACATTTTGATCACACAGTGTACAGTGAGAAGAGTTTAGTGGATATGATCACTTGGATAAAATCTAAAACTGATTCTAAATCGAAAACTGATTCTAAATCGAAAACTGATTCTAAATCGAAAACTGCTTGGCTCCCAAATAGTGAGGTTTCAAATCTATGGGGAAGAATTTTAGCTTGGAGTGAGGGCGAGGATTTTCTTCATACATATAAATCTTAACAATAACGGTGAAAAAATGACTAGATGACAACCCAGCACCCTCCGCAGTATCCTAATAGGTCACATGACAATCCAGCACCCTCCGCAGTATCCTAATAGGTCACATGACAATCCAGCACCTCCCGCAGTATCCTAATAGGTCACATGACAATCAAGCACCCTCCGCAGTATCCTAATAGGTCACCTGACAATCCAGCACCCTCCGCAGTATCCTAATAGGTCACCTGACAATCCAGCACCCTCCGCAGTATCGTAATAGGTTACCTGAAAATCCAGCACCCTCCGCAGTATCCTAATAGGTCACATGACAATCCAGCACCCTGCGCAGTATCCTAACAGGTTACATGACAATCCAGCACCCTTCGCAGTATCCTAATAGGTCACATGACAATCCAGCACCCTCCGCAGTATCCTAATAGGTCACCTGGCAATCCAGCACCCTCCGCCGTATCCTAATACCTCACTACAACGACGTTGTCTGTACAATTTCAACATTACCTTTCTTCTGTTTAATAAAAAAATTACAATACATTTCTCTAATATATTGAAATATGTATAAAATATTTAATACGTACCTATTTTCTATAAATGCTTTCGTGATAATTGATATGAGATCTTTTTCTTCGTGATGATGATTCGTAGGCTTTTTGAATTTAAGCGCAGTACTAGAGAGTAATGGATAGAGGTTCAGACTGCAGAATCGGAGAGCCGAGTTCGAATTCCAGTCGAATCCATTACATCCACTTACGTGCTAATATCCTTGGGAAAGGTAGGCATCCTCTTCTTAAGCTATGGGTAAATAGCAGGACAGACCGGGTACTATAGCCTTGCATAGCAACTGGTCTACCCCAAAAAGAAAGGACAACCTACCGCGGGAAAAAAAAAATCTGTCTCGTTACTCATGTATCGAAAGATACATGATCTCCTAAACGTGTATCACGTATGGCACATAACTAACTGACTGACTAGACTGGCAAAAAAGTATCATCAATTTACAGTTGGGCTGGCTAGATGTAGCAGTAAATTCTATGCCAACAGTTTCTTTTCTCGCACTTCCCGCCTGTGGCAATCTCTTCCGACGCCATGTTTTCCAGTCCACTTTAATCTGCAAAAATTTAAATGCAATGTCAATCGCTATCTATTACCCTCTTAATTATTCTTCTTTTGTTCTTGCTTTTTAGTAATGTTACTGTTTTCTAATTCTTCCACAACCAGTAGCCCTTTGTGTCTTAGGACCTTGTTTGGAATGAAGCCGATTAATTTTTTTTTCAGTTTTCGCATATTTTCTATGACAATTTCTCGGACATTCAGGCCGGTAAATGTTGTTAATACTGTTTATTACAAACAGAGCATTTACTTAAATATTTGTATCTATAAAAAGAATGTATAAACATAAAAATGTCTTAAAATACCATTATAGCATATTGAATAGTGTAAAAGTTGCTATAGCCGGGGTTATAGTGAGGACAAGCTCCCACTGTCTATAAAATTATTTCCGTGACATATAACAATATATATATAGCCTCTGATAACTAAGTCCAGATCCAATTCGGAGAATGGGTGAAAGCGGAAGGCCGGCGCTTCATAACCAGCTGCTTCGGGTAGACGGAGCTTGACAGGAAGACAGTCCATCTAAGTCAGTGAAAACCCTTTTAAACTTCCGCTGTTTTGCTGTCATATCTAATTACAGAAAATGCTATGGAAATAAATCCAGACAGAAAAAGGCGGTTAGTTGCCAAGACTGACAACGTTCTAGCACCTTCTGTAGTCAAGTCTTCCCCAAATGTAATGCCCTGTATATTGTTGCTATTGGTGAGACTGAACAGCGCATAGTCTCCATATATCATCAAACAGACTTGCGTCTTGGAGTGGTCACCCTTGTTTCAGCACCAAAGAACTGAATTTAGACCAAACAGGGTGCTGCCTTTATTCAGCAAGATAAACGGTTGCTTACGACTATATTGAATTATGTATACAATATTTAATACACATACAAAAATAGCAATACGTATGAATACTCGATACATACTTTTCAGTTTAACCAACGTCATTTTGAAATGATTCCAGTTCCAATTCCAGGGATCTAAAAATGCCATTATTTACTCAACAAAACCTCGTTTGCCTTACTGACAACACTTAATTCCTTCACATTGTTTGAATTGGTTTGGTTTGTTTTACGGCATATCAACCTCAATGGGTTATTTAATGCCGACAAAATTTTTATTGCTTTTAATATGTTTTTCTTCAAAAATCTATTTCTGGGAATATTTTTTCTTGAAGAAATCGAAAGCTGGTAATATTTTTTTCAAAGAATGTATAACTGTTTGTATTGCCAGTACACTTTTTTTTTACTTATTGCTGGTAATAATTTTTCCTTCAAAAATTATTGCTGGTAATATTTTTTTTATTATTACCAAGTATTTCTGGTATTAAAACCTATTTTTTCACAAGTTTGGGTGTTAACTATTTTCCCATAGCTGGTACCCTAACAGGTGCTACCACCCCGGGTCAGGGTGAACCTGGGAACGCCAGGAAATTAAGAGGTGGTTCCACGCTCCTCAAAACCTCCTGATCAGAGGCCTTGCTGTTGGACGTAGTTTATCGTTTCACCCAGGACGCGGACGTAGTTTATCGTCTTACCCTGGACGGCTTTCACATTGTAAGAATTAGAATCTTTTTTGTTTCGAGTTTGAGAAAGATGCAAACAAAACTAAATAAATCAAAATCAAAAATGGTTAATTCCACTGAATCGTGAATTCGGTGATCTCCAAATGTAACACTATTGAAGCCTTGCGCCAAACTCAAATAAACCTTGAAAATATTAAATAAAGAAAAAAATGATGAGAAAAAATATGTAGCCATGTATTATTTCATGTTGATTTGGTGAAAGATAAAGAGAAAGAGTGATTTATGTGGGAATTAATTATCTCCATACTGCCAAGCGAAAGGGTGACCCTTCATTAAGATGGTCTCATTGGATTCATTGCCAAAGGAGGACAGGTGAGTCGAGCCGAGCCGGACCTCTTACGACCTTTTTGAGCTGCTGGTCGGGTTGCGCGCTTCTGGGGTCAACTAACTTGACCCGAACATCACTGTCTGTGTGTGTGTGTGTGTGTGTGTGTGTGTGTGTGTGTGTGTGTGGGCACCTGCTGGTTATATCACTGGAGAATCTTTTCATTAATCTTCGGAAGGAAAAGAAAGAAAGAAATAGGGGAAAGTGGAAGAAGAGAACAAAAAAAAGATGATAAAAAGGAAGAGAAATAATTGAAAAAAAAAATGAAAAACGAAACTTGAAGGAAAAAAGGGGAAAATAAAGAGATGCACATAAAAGAGAAGAAAGAAATAAAATATAGGCAGTGAATAAGAAAGAAAGAAAGAAAGAAAGAAAGAGAGTAATAAAATAATACAAATAGAAAAGAAATGAAAGAAAAACGGGAAGAAAGACAGAAACGATGATATGAAAAGAATGAAAAATAGAAAAGAATGAAAAATTGAAGGAAGGCAAAACATAAAAGGCATAGAAATCTCGGAATAATAAACAAAGTAAAATGAAATAAAGCATCAGAAAGAAAAAAAAGAAAGAAGAAAAAACAAAAGAAGAAGAAGGAAGAAAGAGAAAAAAGAAAAGATAGAGAAGAAAAAGTAACAAAGAGAAAATAAGTTGAAGGAAAAAGAAGAAAGAGAAAAAAGAAAAAAACAGAGAAGGAAAAGTAATAACGAGAAAAAAACAAAAACAAAAGACGATTCAGTACAAGGAAGAAAGAAAAATGATGGAGAATAAAAATTAATAAAGAGAGAAACAAAAGCAGAAGATGGAAAGAAAGAAAGTGAAAAAAAAAAGAAAAGATAGAGGAATAAAAGTAATAAAGAGAAAAAGAAAAGAAGGAGAAGGAAAAAGAAGAAAGAGAAAAATGAAAAGACAGAGAAGGAAAAATAGTAACGAGAAAGAACAAAATAAGATAAATTAAAAGGAAAGAAGAAAAAAAAGATGGAGATGGAAAATAAATAAAGAGAAAAACAAGAAGAAGAATGAAAAGGAAGAAAGAGAAAAAAGAAAAGATTAAGAAAGAAAAGTAATAAAGAGAAAAACAAAAGAAGGAGAAGGAAAAGGATGAAAGAGAGAAAAGAAAATAGATAGATAGATAGACAGACAGACAGACAGATAGATAGATAGATAGAGAGAGAGAGAGAGAGAGAGAGAGAGAGTGAGAGAGAGTGTGTGTGTTTGTGTGGAGGTAGAAATAGAGGTGGCATAGTGAAAATAAATTAAGATTAAATAAAGTACGGGAAAGGCAAAGAGTAAAGTTAAGAATGGGGAAAAAAGAAGAGAAAAATTGTCAAGAAATAAAAGAAAGAAATAACAAGAAAAAGAATATGAAAAAGAGAAAAAAAGTAAAGAAGAAAGAGGATAATAGACAAAAAGAAAGAAAGAAAGAGGAAGAAAAAGAGGGAGATATATCAAGAAAGAAACGAAAAGAAAAAGAGAGGGAGAAATGAAGATTGAAAGAAATAAAGAAATACACGGACAACGATGTAAAGAAGAACGAAATGAAGGAAACCCTTAAAAAAAAAAGAAGAAAGAAAAAATAAAAAAATAAAATCGACAAAAAGAAAGAAAGATGTGAACAAAGAATGAAGTAAGAAAAACAAAGATGAAAGAAAGAAATGAAGACGGAAATATAAAGAATGAAAAATGTGTGAATGAGAACCGACAAAAGAAAAAGATAATGATAAACAGCGTAGAAGAATTCACAATACAAACACAATAGCGAGAAGATGAAGAAGAAGTTAGAGTAAGATCAAAAGAAGTAGGAAGAGAGGTAGAAAATGAAAGAAGAACAGCGAAGAAAAAGAAGGACGAGGAAAAATAAAAAAAAGGGACGAGGAGAAAAAGAAGGACGAGGAAAAATAAAAAAAAGGGACGAGGAGAAAAAGAAGGACGAGGAAAAATAAAAAAAAAAGGACGAGGAGAAAAAGAAAGAGGAGGAGGAGGAGAAGAAGAAGAAGTTAGAGGGGGTATAAAAAGCAGGAAGAGAAGCATAAAATGGAAGAAGAAACGGCGAAGAAAAAGAAGAACGGAGAAAATAGAAAAAAAGAAGACGACGACGAAGAAGAAGAAGAAGAAGAGAAGAAATTAGAGAGGGATAAAAAGAAGCTGGAAGAGAAGCAGAAAATTGAAGAAGAAACGGCGAAGGAAAAGAAGAACGGAGAAAATAGACGACGACGACGACGAAGTAGAAGAAGAAGAAGAAGAAGAAGAAGAAGAAGAAGAAGAAGAAGAAGAAATTAGAGAGGGATAAAAAGAAGCTGGAAGAGAAGCAGAAAATGGAAGAAGCGGTGAAGAAAAAGAAGCACGAGGAAAAATAGAGAAGAAAAAGAAGACAAAAACGAAAAGGAATATTGTAAAAGGTTAGAGGAAAGATTAAGAAAAAAAGCGATAAAATTTTTAAAAAGAAAGTGAATGAAGGAAAATCAAAACAGAATGAATTCAATAAATTAAATGGAATTAAAAAAAAAATGAATAACAGCGAAAGAAAACAAAAAAAATTAAATGAATAATCACAGTTGGAAGAAATTTTTAATTAAAAAAAACGAGACAAAGAAAAGTAAATTATAAAGACGGCAACTTCTTCAAATTTATCTTCATCCATATCAGTCCATTAGTTCTTGTCTTGAGGTCGAAGGGTTCAGATTGTGTAGCCAAAAGGTCCCAACCTCTCAACTCAGGGAATGTAATGTCGACCTGTGCTCCATTCTTTCTTGATTTATACAGCTTGAAAGATTCAGTCAGTCATTGTCAAGCATGAGACTCCCCAATCCGACAATGGACAAAAAAAAAAAAAAAGAAAAAAAAAAGTAAATAAAAATAAATATAAAAAGGCTTTATGATAATGAAGATTATTGGCCTTAAGATTTTAACAAAATTCAGTCATTTTTATCAGGCATGAGCTTCACTTGTCCGACAGTAAGTGAAACAGTCAATTATAAATGACTATCCAGTAGACATTAATTCTTAAACGACGGGAAAAGGTTACAGAAATCTTCGCTACAAACGGGAGATTTAATTTTTATGAAATATAGTTTTTAGGCTTGTGTTTGCTTCAGTAATATAAAACACGTATTACAAATTAATTGAAACAACCATTTTAGTTTCCTCTCTTTCATCATACAGAGTTTTAGACCCACTGGCCTTAAAAAATATTGCGTCATCCGTGATCGCATGAGATTTTCATCAAGCCCAAACACTATTGCCTCGACTGTCGATTAGTTGTGCTACGGCCATTGTCTTCGATGGACATTACTCCTAGTGAGCGTACGAAAATTGTAACGCTGCACTTGAGAACTTTCAACAGCAGCAACATATAACTCGAAGAGCAAATAATGACATAATTAAGATGTTGATATTTCACACTACTTCAAACAAAAAGGTTAGGAAGGAAACCCCCATGAATAGTGAAAAGAGCAATAGCAATTGCGGGAATCAAGAAACTTATTTTCCTGAAAAATTGTTTTAGAAAAAGATTTTAGAAATTGCAACTGATAGTATCATCGGCTGCCTGGACAATGGATGCCGAATATTTACTTATAAGGAAACGGCTAATATTACCATTAGCATTTGAAATCAATCTGCTACCTATTCACACAAACTAATCAGGTCTGTTACTCATTTTATTCATCTGACCTCTCCTGACTTCACTATGTCCTGTAAGTGTTAAATTCTCCAAGCACTCTTTTCTCGTTGTGTGTCCTAGACATTTCGACGATCTCTTTCGGATTTTAAGTATTAGTGTCCTTTTTGTTTCCATTTTCCTTAAAACTTCCTCATTGTTCATATGCTCAGCATCTTTCTGTAGATCCTCATTTCCGTTGCTGCAAATCTCTTCTTCATCTGTGAGGAAATTGTCCAGCACTCACTGTCATAGTGGATATTACATCTAACAATATTTTCATACGTCTTAATGTATACACGCGCGTCTATGTGTATATAGGTATGTACGTATGTCAAACTATGCCATTGGTTGACACAAGCCTTGAGAGGGAAATTGGGTAGACGAAACCCTTGGGGTTCCTCGATAGCTGTGCTAGCAAGAAGTTACAAGTCAACGTGGCCGAGGACTTGAGCGTGCTGGCCTTGTTCAAATTGTTGATCACACTAGATAACACGCTCTCTCCCAAAGACTCTAAGGTCTGCTCAGCATAGTTGCAATATAAACCACTGGTGGGTTCTGTGGTTGTTGAATAAACACATATGCGCCTTAGTAAGCGTCTGCAATAGTCATTTGCAGTGGCGTGCAGTAATATATATGATGAAATGTGTTTGACCTTGAAAAATATTGCGTCATCCGTGATTGAATGAGATTTTCATCAAGCCCTAACACTACTGTCTAGACTGTCGATTAGTTGTCCTACGACCATTGTCTGCGATGGACATTACTCCTAGTGGGCGTACGAAAATTGTAACGCTGCACGAACACACTGGCTAAATTTTCCAGTGAGCAAATCAAATCGTGACCGGAAACCCTTTTTTAGTTTCTTTTTGCATTATGGGAAAATGAAATTTATTATTAGTATTTTATCTATTTTATTTTCATTCTCCTACAAAATTCACTAATCCGTTTGTAAGTGAAAAAAAAAAATGAAGGCTAAGTTTGTATTTATTCGAAATTCATTAGTAATAATCTTCGCTAATCCTCTAGAAGGAATTAAATTTATGTTCATTATGATAATGAGTATTAGTGATTTATAGACCGCAAAATAATTAAGTCCTTCTTTCTCAACTGTGCTAATTCGGCAGTGGGTGAAACAATCAATTATAAATAATACTTGAGATCAAATTAATCACAACTAAGCTTCGGTAATCCACGAAAATGAAATATAAATATGACCCTAAGAGTGAAATTTATTGATGTTGGCTACGATCAATGTAGGAAGGAATGCAAAAATATTCCCCTTCTTAAATTTATAAAAAAATCGTACATATAGAGGAGGCACGGTTGAGTAACCGATAGCGGCTCGGATTGAGGATTCGGAGAGCCGAGCTCGAATTCCAGTCGAATCCTTTACATTCACATACGTGCTAAAAAGGAAAGGTATGAATCCTCTTCTTTTACCCATCCCACCAGCAATAGCAGGACGGACAGGTTTCTATAGCCTTGGATGGCAACTGGAAAGAAATGGACACCTATGAAAGATACATGACTGACGAAAGATACATGATCGCTTAAGCGTGTATAACGCATTAGACAACTAACTGACCCTTAGGAAAGGTATGAATCCTTTTCTCCTCCTCCCCAGCTATGGGTAAATAACAAGTCAGATCGGGTTCTATAGCCTTGGATTGCATTTGGCCTACCGCAGAAAGTGATAGCGACCTACTGCGAGAAAAAATTGCCTCGTCAGTCATGTATCAAAAGATCGCCTTAGCGTGTATGACGCATGGCACATAACTGACTGTGATCACTTGACTGCATTGTTAACACCATTATTACTTTGTGAAACATTTGCCTTATTACTGTTGCTTTGCTTAATTGTGTCACACACCCACACAGTGCAGGTTTGAAAATGCGGGAAAACATTTTTCTTTCTTTAGAGAGCATTTTCGACCAACACATCAGAAGAATTGGTAAATGTTAATTGACAAAGAAAACACAATTCGTGCTACGATAAAATATATTTTCTCCTCCTTAAATTTTCTTGCAGTGCGAATTGTCGTGTTTTCTTGGTCCATTAATACTTACCAACGTGTTCTTCTGAAGATGTGTTGGTCGAAAGACATCTCTTAAGAAAGAAGAATGCTTTCCTGTGTTTTAAAAATATATATATATATATATTAAAAGAACATGAACAAAATCTGTATATATATATATATATATATATATATATATATATATATATATATATATATTAAAAGAACATGAAGAAAATTTATTCCTTTAAAAATTGATTCTTTTTATTTGCCTGAAGAAGTTCACGAGACCGGAAACCCGTGTAGCAAAAATATAATATATGCACTAAAACAAATCCACATTATAACCAGAAAAGTTTGCGGTTTCTCTCTTTTTTAAATATATATATGTAAAATGTAATGGGCTAAGTCCGACAATAATTTAATATATTTTCTATTGATACGTTATTTTTTATTGATACAAGTTATTTAAGTAAATGCTCTATTTTTTAATTAAACTGTATTAATTACATTTATCGGTCTGAAAGGTCGAAAAATTTCGGAGAAAATAAGCGTTTTCCAACAATAA